AATGTGTCGTACTCTTGAGGATCAACTGAGTGAGATAAAGATCAAAAATGAAGAACATGTGCGACAGCTGAATGATATTGGGGTGCAAAGGGCAAGACTGCTAACAGAGAATGGTGATATATATATATATATATATATACATAAATAATGTATTTTTTTTACTGGTCCTGATCTTATATTTCCAATACAATGCCCATATTTGCATTTTGATTAGTTTTAAATCTCTGTCTCTCCTTAGGTGAGTTCAGTCGCCAGCTGGAGGAGAAAGAAGCCCTGATCTCTCAGCTTACAAGGGGCAAGCAGGCTTACACCCAGCAAATTGAAGAGTTCAAGAGGCACATTGAAGAGGAAACAAAGGTATTTGCACATTGAAACCACGAACACCATCGCAGAACTGCAACGCTAAGTTACACACGTTTCAGTTAATAAAAAAGGTCTCTATTTATTTGTAAGGCCAAGAACGCCCTGGCTCATGCTGTTCAGTCATCTCGTCATGACTGCGACCTGCTCAGAGAGCAGTATGAGGAGGAGCAGGAGGCCAAATCTGAGCTGCAGAGGGCATTGTCAAAGGCCAACAGCGAGGTGGCTCAGTGGAGAGCCAAATACGAGACTGATGCTATTCAGCGTACTGAGGAGCTGGAGGAGGCTAAGTAAGTCATTACAATGTTAACTTTGTATGAACACTTTCAGTGACAAATTTAAGCTCTTCCACTGTAGCACTGAACGCACTTTCAGCTGGTTGTTTGGGAGGGATTCACCTCCATAGGAGCTTTGAGTCTGTTATCACATATATCAATTCTATAACTCATCACATGTATGGTTTAACAGGAAAAAGCTCGCTCAGCGTCTTCAGGATGCAGAAGAATCCATCGAGGCTGTGAATGCAAAATGTGCCTCTCTGGAAAAGACAAAACAGAGATTGCAGGGTGAAGTGGAAGACATGATGATTGACGTGGAGAGAGCTAATGCTCTGGCTGCTAACCTCGACAAGAAGCAAAGGAACTTTGACAAGGTTAGATTTATAGTTGTGCCTTTTTTTGCTTAAATGAAGACCCTAGAATTGTCAATTACTGAAACACATGGGTCTTTTTATGTTTTAAGGTTCTTGCAGAGTGGAAGCAGAAGTATGAGGAAAGCCAGGCAGAGCTGGAGGGAGCTTTAAAAGAGTCTCGTTCTCTCAGCACTGAGATGTTCAAGCTGAAAAATTCGTATGAAGAAACTCTGGACCACCTGGAGACCTTGAAGAGAGAGAACAAGAACCTGCAGCGTAAGCAAACTTATTAAAAAAAAGCAGAATACTCAAATAGGCCAATAATTAAAAGCATTTAAAGTGGTCTGGTTGTACAGAGATTTCCAGAGTACATAAATGAAGCTGTGGCGTTTGCTTTGAATGAAGGGAAAGGAGGAAGAGTGTTCCCCCTAGTGGGCACACATGATTAATGTGCATGATCTATGATTTCAAACTAACATCCAATGAAATGCAATGTTGCAGTTAGTTTTTTTATGAATGTGTGAATGAAGTGTACTGTATACTAAATTAAAATGTCTACCAAGGAGACAAAACAAATAATTCAGCTTCCACCTACTTACATACCGCTTAACTTGTTTCTTACAGAGGAGATCTCCGATCTAACTGAGCAAATTGGTGAGAGTGGAAAAACTATTCATGAACTGGAGAAAGGGAAAAAGATTGTAGAGATAGAGAAGTGCGAACTCCAGACATCACTTGAAGAGGCAGAGGTACTTTCTAAGAAAATTTCTCTCATTAAATGCAACTTGAAATGATGCTGGGGCCTCGGGCTACACAATATACATTTATTTTTTTCTGTCAAGGCTACCCTGGAGCACGAGGAATCCAAGATTCTCCGCATTCAGCTTGAACTCACCCAAGTCAAGAGTGAAATCGACAGAAAACTTGCAGAGAAAGACGAGGAGATGGAGCAGATCAAGAGGAACAGCCAGAGAGTGATTGAGTCCATGCAGAGCACTTTGGATGCCGAGGTCAGGAGCAGGAATGATGCCCTGAGAACCAAGAAGAAGATGGAGGGAGACCTCAACGAGATGGAGATTCAGCTGAGCCACGCCAACCGCCAGGCAGCTGAAGCCCAGAAACAGCTGAGAAACGTGCAGGGACAGCTTAAGGTATGGTGGCTTGCTGAAAATAATTAAAATAAAGTTTACTTTACTCAGACTGCATGGCAATTATTTTATTTTTTTTATAATTACTCATTAAGGATGCGATACTGCACCTTGATGACGCTATTAGAGGCCAGGAAGACATGAGGGAGCAGGTTGCCATGGTGGAGCGCAGGAACAACCTGATGCTGGCTGAGATCGAGGAGCTGAGAGCTGCACTGGAGCAAACAGACAGAAGCCGCAAAGTGGCTGAACAGGAGCTGGTTGATGCCAGCGAGCGTGTGGGACTGCTGCACTCTCAGGTAAGATTCAGCGAAGATTCAAACAATCACATGTGAAACCCTTAACGACCAAAAATAATACTTTGTAATCCAACCCAAACTATTATCGGTTTAGAATACCAGTCTCATCAACACCAAGAAGAAGTTGGAGGCTGACCTCATTCAGGTCCAGGGTGAAGTGGAAGATTCTGTCCAGGAGGCAAGAAATGCTACAGAAAAGGCCAAGAAGGCCATCACTGATGTGAGTCATCCTTACGCAACTTAACTAGGGTTGGGCGATTGTTTCTATTTTCATATCGTCCAATCGTGGATACTCGAGATCGACGATAGGTGAATTGATCGCCAATGTGCAGAGCCGCGTGGCTCAGCTCTGTAGGAGCTTTGAAATAGAACCTTTAAGCTTTTTGCAAGGACAGTAAAAGTTACATGAATAAAACTTTAACAAAAGTGTAAACATTTTATTTAAAATATCTAAACATTAAAAACAAACCACTTTAATAGCAATGTCTCCTCTATTCAAACAAAGGCAAACATTCAAATGTCCATGAGTCTGTGCTAAGTGCGACAATAGCACAGCATCATGTATCTTTATTATTACAATCCAAATCATATCACACCAGTAGTAGGGCTTCTCCTCAATGTCTGGTGCTCTAGGAGTTGAAACATCAGACTGCAATAAGTTTATATCCAATAATACAAAAATCAACAACATTTCAGGCTGCCATGATGGCAGAAGAGCTGAAGAAGGAGCAGGACACCAGCTCTCATTTGGAGAGGATGAAGAAGAACCTGGAGCTGACAGTGAAAGACCTGCAGCACCGCCTTGATGAAGCTGAGAATCTGGCCATGAAGGGCGGCAAGAAGCAGCTCCAGAAACTGGAGGCTAGGGTAAGTGCCATGAGGACAAACCTGTTCATATTTACTGAAAGTCAAGACAACATCTTGCTTTGTAAAATCACTCAATTCTTCTTCATTCAAGGTTCGAGAATTGGAGACTGAAGTTGATGCTGAGCAGAGGCGGGGTGCTGATGCTATCAAGGGAGTGCGAAAATATGAGAGGAAAGTAAAGGAGCTTACCTATCAGGTAAATTGCTATTTAATTAAAATACTAAAACTTAAAAAAACTGCAAATCCTAATGATAAAAATGGTAATGAAAACAGTAGGCTTAATTTACTGTTGGGCCTACATTACAATGTTGTATTATTCCTGATTCACAACAGTTTGAAGAGGACAAGAAGAATATTATCAGACTTCAGGATCTGGTGGACAAGCTGCAGCTGAAAGTGAAGGCCTACAAGAGGCAGTCTGAGGAGGCTGTGAGTACACTTCATTATTGATAACGACACACTGAAAATGTCACTCAGTCCACAGGTTTTGATGTCACTGTGGCTTGTCATACAGGAGGAGCAGGCCAACACTCACCTGTCCAGGTACAGGAAGGTGCAGCATGAGATGGAGGAATCTGAGGAGCGTGCTGACATCGCTGAGTCTCAGGTCAACAAGCTGAGAGCAAAGAGTCGGGAAATTGTCAAGGTAAAAAAGAACTTTCTGAGCTGAATCAATATTGTATAAATGCTCATTTTAAATAAGGATACAACTTTGCAATTTGGTTATAAGGGCCATTGTGGAGCATTTATTTTTATTTTCAACCTCATCACTAGATGCCGCAAAACCTACACACTGGACCTTTCAATTAAAATGATCTGCAAATGTTGAACATGCTTTTGTTCTGTCATTTCAGGTCAAAGATGCAGAGTGAAGAAGAAATTGAGGTTATACAGTAGCAAGAAGCCATAAAATATGAGTATCTTGTCATTCTAGCATACTAATAACCATGCTGTGAAAACCAAAAGTAAATAAAAAGTAGTTTGTTGCATCTTTTTCTTTTGTGTCCTTTCATTTTGATTACTGATTTAATGAGTGAATATTTAACAGTCTTGCACACTTAAATGTTCCAAGCCTTTGGGGGCTTACATTTTGATTCATTGTGTAGCTTAAACCACGTAGTAACACGAGTAAGTTATAAAATAAAATGTAAGAATCAAATATGGTCAAATATATATATTTGTATCAATTTCTATTTAATGAAGTCTTGGCCATTTATCTGAACATACTTTGTTTATGTTATATTCCTTTATTGCAAACATCTATTTAAAAAAAAACAATTTCAAATAATATGTATAAGTAATTGTATTTATTATTTGGTCGTATATCCTTTGCAATCAACTGCCTTCTTATAGACATTGCTGCTATCAGCATATACCTGTTTTTTTTCTTTGACACTTCTTTGCCTGGTCTGTATACTTTTAGTGCACCCATCTATACTTCAGTTGGATTGAGATCAGGACTTGGTCAGTCAAATACTTTGTCTTTTGGCCATAAAACCCTAATAATTGCAAGTAAGAGAGGAGTATATGTTCATGCATGTATATGTGTCTGTCTAGTAGATCTTTATTATTGGACGTACAGTTTTTTATGTTTTACACTTACTTTGGCAATGTAAAGAGACAGACAGAACGAGAGAAATGTATAAAGACAGGAGTGTGGTATTTGTTCAGGTCACCAGAGGTCACCATTGAGCGTTAGGCAGACTGTTGCCGTAAATAGAGCTCGGGCGATGGCGTATATATATTAGGATATACTGCAGACCGTGATGTTATGTTCTTCGTGGTTTTTTATCGTTTATTTTAGATAGTGATTATTGTACTCGGTTGATGCTGGATCAGGTGTATGGACCAGGTTTTCTGAGATGAGCTCCGCTGTGGTTTGGGATGCGCAGTGCGCCGCTTTGCGTCCGCTGCTGACTGGGACTGCTGCAGTGTAAACAAGACTGTCCGAGCCTGCAGCGCTGCTGTCAGTGGGCGAAACGATAACGACACAGTGTCAATGGTAGTTGACTTTTCATCTTAAACGAGCACGGCTTCATAATGAAACCTCCGTGTTGTTGTTTTTCAGTGCGCAACGATTGCAGCGGAGAATCTGGCTTTCTTCTTTTTAATTCAACTGGACATCTGTCAGACAGCACATCTGCTCTTTCTAACTAAGTAGCCAGCAAACGTTCAGCCTATCGCTGGATTAATCAGATGGACTTTGCTGTCGAGGAAGCAACAACTCCTTCTTGAATCAGGAAAATGAGTGACAACCAGGAAACATCAGATGCCGAGGAAGACACTACCCCGTCCGGGAGCGCGACCTTGCCGCTCCGGCCGCCGTGCGACCGTCTCCCTTGCAACAAGAGCAGCGTGTGCTCCCGCTCCTACTTCGTGGTAGTGATGGTCTTTTTTCACGTATACATCATTAATGTTATAGCACTGCTATTTTACGTTCACTATAACAGCGGGTCGGACGATGCCAACCAGAGTCGCGATGCTCCGAGCAGTAACCACCAGCACCCCGAGTCGCGACGTCCGCCATCAAAGCCTGAGTTTCTGCGTGATGTTTCCCTAACAAGAATCGAGGGGATAAGGGTGAGTAATGTGATGATGCATCACTCCTTCATTTATACCCTGTGCTTTCTCTCAAACACACACAATAAGCACCACCACATCACTTCTCTGATTCTTCTCTAAGGTGGGACACGTCCAGAAGGTGTCACTGGTGCCAAGCAAAGTGCATGAAATGCGGACTCTGAGTCTGAAACCGCTGCTGTTTGGTAAGAGCCGAAACACTCATGTGTCAAAACACATTTGCAGCTCACCCACATGAGCCTCGAGTGGCCAAAGAGTCTTTCCTCTTCTTATGATGATGTAAGCAAACATGCATTCACCACACACTCGTCCTTGTTTTCATCTTCATAACTATCACCCTCAAACACATGGCCTAGTTTAAACATATGTGCACGCTCAGGTCAATCAAGGCTGAAAAAGGGTCAATAAGTCCTGAGGCTACTACCCCAGTTAAGAGCTCATATAAACAGATCGGGACATAACACAATTCAAAACATACATGTAGGCATTAGATGTGCTGGAGTAAAGATGGTATAAACATTTTGAAGTGGAAAAATGTAAAGCTTACTATATTGTTTGTTTTCGTCGTTCTCTTCATTAGTGTTTCGTTTTGGTAACAAGCATTTAACTGTTTATGACTGACTTTGATTTTGACTGGTTCAATGTTGATATGAATGGTTCCACTCTGGCTCTGCAAAACATGCAACTAATGAAATAATTGTCTATATTTGTGCTACAGCTAAATATATTTCTGACTGTACATTTTCTGCTGATTATTTTCTCTATTAAACCTTACAAAATAGAGAGACATGTCTATTGCAATTTTGCAGAGGCCAAGCTGGTAACCTAAAGGCTTAAAGTGTACTTTCATGTGAGACAAAGTAGCAAATTCTTTAAGTGAAGTAGCTGGAAAAGGTTTATTAATTGAATATCGCAATAATTGCTGATTAATCTTCTGTTGTTTTACTAATTGATTAATTGACTTATCACTTTAGCTTTACTCTTTTTAAATGTTGAAGCAAGGGTCTGAGGACAGACGGTGTCGTATGCTGTGCAGATTGTAAAGCCCTTTGAAGCAAATTTGTGATGTTGGGTTACATAAATAAAATTGTCTGGATTTCTAGATAAAACTACAATACAATATGGTACGGTTGCAAATCAGAAAATTTGAAGCATGCAGCAGAGAAAATGCTGCAATCCTGTTAAGCCAAGAGATTTGACTCTGTGTATAACTGTCCGTCTGTGTTTTTCTACAGAGATCCCTGGGTTTCTGTCGGAGGATGAATGCCGTGTGGTAACGCAACTTGCACAGCTAAAGGGTCTAATGGAGAGTCAGCTAATGGTGCAAGACGGCCAGGAAGAGCTGGCCAAGGAGCTCAACCTCAGCCCTGAAGAGATCTTCAACCTTCTTGACATCAACCAGGATGGACAGTTGCAGCTCCATGAGGTGAATGTCAGTTAGTGGATCGTGAGCATGGACTGTATGACATGCAGTACTTTTTTTGGTTCACTCATCCTGTCGTTACTGTCGTGCCTCCACTAGATACTGACTCATTCTCGAGTGAGGGACGGAATCTGGCTCACACCGGAGAATCTGAGAGAAATCTATGCTGGGCTCAAAGCTGACAAGGACGGTAATGGTAAGAAATCAACGTTGTCCTTTTTACAGAAATGCATCCATTTGCATAGCTATTATTTTGATTGACTATTTATTTTGTGTAAATATTTGTACTTCTTAAATTTAAGTATAATTTGAGAAATAATCTTAAACATTTTTATACACTTTACTAAAAGTGCTACCTAGTTTTACATCGCCAGGAGGGACGACAGTGGTGAGTTTTGACAAGAACAATGAATATTGTTTGTCTCTGTATGGTAATATATTTTTAGTGTTTGAACACAGTAAAAAGTGCATACATTGACTGCACGGCATACCTCAGTAGTGTTACAAACACATTGTTTAAATCACTGATAATGTGCTTCCCAACCGTTTTGGCTTGTGACTGCTTAACCTGAGGCCATGTCTACTTATTACCCCTCTTTAAAGGTTAGGGTCTACTATGGACACAAGAGTCATTTTTAGAAGCATACGTGATACAGAGTATAGACACAGGTATTGAATATGAATGTGACCGGATAAAACCCATCTTAAACTAATTTTGGTCTTGAACTAAACATTGGAAATGCATCAGGACTCCAGAAAGGGCAGCAGGTCTCATTTAAACACATCTAAACTAGATTATACACAGTATATCAAAGTATAATAAAAAACTTTTTTTCCCTAAGTTATGGTACAAGTTGTCAGTAACTCAAGAAATGAAAACTTACGCAAGGCATCAGAATATGTACATCTCATATTTTGGACAGGTTTGCTAAGTCTAGAAGAGTTCAGGCTTCTGAGCAATGATGCCTTCCAGCGCTTCCTGCTGCAGCGAGGGGTGAAGAGGAGTCAGCTGGTGAGGAACAGCAGACACACCTGGCTGTATCAGGGCAAAGGAACACATCAGGTCCTCCAAGACATCAAGGCGAGGCAAGCAAGTCAAACCACCTTCTCCGATTGCTGTTGTGCTTGAATAACTGAAATATAAATAAGGTTTTTCACAAATCGAAAGGACAGTTTTAACACCTTTTTCCCCAGACTTCAATTTTTTTTTTTCATTACCTTTCTCCACCAAAGGGTGACTCGTCTCACTCGGCTCCCACCCGCATTAGTGGACCTCAGTGAGCCCCTCCAGGTGGTTCGCTATGAGGAGGGAGGACACTACCACGCCCACCACGACAGCGGCCCTGTGTATCCTGAAACAGCATGCACACACACGCGCCTCGCAGCGAACACCTCCACTCCTTTTGAGACGTCTTGCAGGTGAGATCCCTGAGGTGCACAGTGTTGGCTGAAGCAGCATTTCGCTACAATGATATCTATGAATGTCCAGATCTGAATTCGTCTGCGCAGTGTGATTACTAAACTCCATTGTGACAGCTGGCATGTTAGTTTGTGTGACTCAACATTGTCAACCTGTAAAAATGTGTGTGCCTGCCTCTTGTTTGCAAAGTGTTGTATGTGTGTGTTTGTTTTGCACCATACATGTATGTCAATTTAAATCTGTGTTGCACACCTAGGTACATCACAGTTCTCTTCTACCTGAACTCTGTCGATGGGGGTGGGGAGACCGCATTCCCTGTGGCAGACAACAGGACCTATGATGAAGTGGTGCGTAATTGTGTGTGGGTAATGTGTAGGGAGAGCCCTGCAAAAGTAATGTGTACATACTGCGCATGTCTTTCATATCTGTGTTAACTCACACGTTTGTCAGTGAGTGCATGGCCCTGGCGTTGAACAGACTGTGTCACTGAGTTTGAATGTTTCGTTGTAGTCTCTCATACAGAATGACGTTGATCTTTTGGACACCAGAAGGAATTGTGACAAGAGCAACCTAAAGGTGAAGCCTACCAAAGGGACCGCTGTTTTCTGGTACAACTACCTTTCTGATGGAAAAGGTAGGATTGCGAACTTTGTTTCCATACTGTTGCAATGAAGATGCAAATCAGCAACTATTTCATTGTCATTTGATGTAGGAGCATATTTAGAATTTTTATTTCAAAAGTAACATTTTTCTTATATACACATTGTGTGCCACATTGTCTGTCAATATTAAAACACAAAGTTAAAGCCCATTTACCAACATATAGTCTTGTAAATCCTATCACAAAATAATGCAAATTAACAAGACGAAGAGATTACAGCTCTGCTAGCAGCTCTGTGTGAAGCTACACTTCGCCACAGTGGTGCTTTGAACTAGATGCTAATGTCAGCATGCTAACATGCTCGTGAAGACAACACTAACACACTGATGTTTGTCAGATGTAATGTTTAATAATGTATCTTCCATCTTAGTTTAGCATGTTAGCATGCACGCATTTGGTATTTATCACAAAACAGAAAGTACAGCTGATCAAGTGTTGCAGCTATTTGGCCATAAACCAATGAAGTGGACAAATTACCGTCATGGTAGCGCTAGATTAAACATCAGAGGATAAGCAAACCTATTAAGATACATCGTCAAGGAACCATGAATATCTGTATAAAATCAATCTAGTAGATGTCGAGACATTTCAAGCGAGAACTTTGACTTAATGATACCACTAGATGAAATGTTCGGGGTTCACCAACATTTTTATCACAATTCATACATAGTTACAGAGATCAGTCTGGATCATAGTGGCAGGCCGACATTGCATCCCTCATTAACCTACCGCTCTAGCGTGACTAAAAACACGAAATCTGACATTGCAGTTTCTTATATTATTTTATTTAAATTCAATTAATCTTGGCAATTAACATGTAATTTTCATGTTTTTTGGCACCGAGTAAAAGTCGACGTATAAAATGCAGTCAAAAGGTTGCGATTCAAGCCCATACTGTTGTCATTGTACAAATGAAAGGTAATCTAGAAAGACAGCTACACACAGTAAGAGTACAGCTCTATAAAACAGGTCATTTAAAATTGATTTCTGGCTCATTTAAACTAATAAATAAAATGAAATGTTAGTCGAGAGAATACAATTAATTAATATCGACCAACGAGTTGAGTGTGGTTGATAGTCATAACATCAGTGTGAGCTCTTTAAAGAACATGATGCCATGATGTGAAGGATGTTGCTAACAAACATTCAATTATTATTATCATTATTATTTTTTCCCTAATAGGTTGGGTGGGACAGCAGGATGAATATGCACTGCATGGAGGCTGTGTGGTCACCCATGGCACTAAGTGGGTCGCAAATAAATGGATAAACATTGATCCGGATTACCAGCGGCAGGTTCGCTACCAGCAGCTGGTTTCACAGCAGCCAGAGGATGAGGATGATGAAGGTCCGACTCTCAACCCGAACCTACAGAGTTCTGATATCCATCAAGACTTGTAGCTCATAAACCAAATTTATACAAAAAAAACAACTAAAAATCTACCGAGCCTTCCTCAGTCATGTGCACAACTTCTTTGGCAAGATCCTCTGTGTCCAGTTTGTAGAGACAAGATTTATTCAGGGAATGAGGTCACAGTGGGTTTATGCAACTGTAAAGAGATGATTTTGGTAAATATTGCTTGTATATTGTTATCTAGAGATGCACCAATACTGACATCTGTCTGATAATGACTCAAATAGCCGGATCAGGTATCGTCAATAGGCTGATCAGATACCATTATTTTAATAAATAACAGTTCAGTACATTTATATCTATATATTTATTTGTTACATTTTGTTTAACAAAGTTAGGAAAGCAATGTTTAAGTCAGGTCTGATGTTGCCTCACACATAAAAGACTGATCCCAGTCTCTTCCACACAGTGAGGCATACAGCTTATTAACTAAAATGCTGGTATCAGTATCTGTATTGGGACCGAAAAAGTCAGATCGGTGCATCCCTATTGTTATACTTCTATTTTTGAATCTCCTATAATTTCCCTTTTTAGGAATGTTGCACTAGAAACCCATTAAAACAGTTGAGACAAAACAATCCCTTTGCATGCATTAGCTTCACAGATTGTCTGTTTGCTGTTGCTATGAGCAGAAATTGCACTTAAAAATTGAAATGGCTCCTGCAAACATTTCAATGTCCTTCCTTGTCAATGCTGCCATTACCAAAAAAGGCTCACACTGTCTGTGTGATGCATGTTGTCTTGTAATTGTTCCTTGAATTATTTTCTAACAGATTCTTCTTGAAAGGTAGTGTTGAGAGGTTTCATTTTATTACCTGTATTTTTCCCTAAAAATGCATTCTATCGTCCTCCCACTTTGAATAAAGTTAAATTAAACTCATGTGTCTTCCTACTTTAAAGATAAGATTTATAAATATAAATGTAAGTCATCAATGGTTTTGTAGAGTTGTTCCGATGTCTAAAACAGTATTGTAAATGCCTCCGTTACAGTCTAAAATGCTGGATCAGGTATCGGAGATCATGTTATCTTGTCTTGATAACATGACATTATGTTGCATGACCTGAGCCAGGTCATGCAACAATGATAGCAATAATATCATCCATACAGGGTTGGTAGTATACAGCTGTTCAAAAATGAGAATATATATATTTTTAGTTTTGTAACGCACTGGTATTGTAATCAGTGTCAGGAAGGAAAAATGGTATCGGAACATCTCTGGTATCTATTCATTTACAAATAAAATGTCCTAAAAGTGTCTGATATTGCTCCCAGTCAATGTTGAGACAGTTGTGCCATCTTCAGTGCTGGATATCCAATTTGGTTGAAGTCCTTAAAGCTTTGTGGTGCTGTATGTGTCCTGAAATCAAACAGTTTTTAGATTTAGTTAAGATGACATGATTAAACGTAACGGTTTTAGTTCAATGAAAATTATCGAGTTTTAACATTGGACCATCCAACTGAAGTGTCACCGAAACATGAGCTGAATATACTCACCACTGATGGCTCGTATCTGGCAAACGATGTTGCTCCGCGGTGGTCCAGACAGTAGAGCACAGCGTCATGAACGGAGGCAAAGAGATGCCTCTTAGTAACTGACTCGGAGAAGAAGTCACCAAGCTCTAACTGTTCCACCAGAGTGGCTGAAGAGAAAACAGTTTAAAATCAAAAAATGACCACCGCAATGAGCCTTTTCATGTAGTAGAGGAAGTGATTTCACTCACGTTGACAACCAGCCATGTAGACATCTACGTCAATCTCACTGAAGTCCTGGAAAATCTGTCAATAATGTAAAAACAGAATATCTGTCCTCATCAAAAGCTACCACTTAACAATCTTTAAAGTGCTACTAATCCTACTCAGTCTAATCTATCTCACAGTCAATCATACATGTTAAGTTAACGAACAACAGTAAAATATCATTTGTAACTAGAAGTTAATAAATTCCCATTTCAGTGACATTAGAACTTGCCCAGACTAAATTAAACCAAAATATTGAATCTTTCCCTTTCTCGTGAGAACAAAAGGAATCTTTTTCTTCATTGTGTTTTTATCGTTTGAACTCAATCAATTTAAAAAATATGTCAGGATCGAATGATTGCAGACCTGTATTTACCTTTCTTATTGTTAAATAAATCTATCTTAAATCTATGTATCAACATTGTAAAATTAGCTGTTAATAAGAAAACATAACTCCCAAGCTCTACTTGTAAGCTTCTCAAATTACGCTACAGTATTTATTAAAAGGATTCAACACCTGGATGACCTGAAAGCAAAAGGCTGTTCCCCTGAGGTTTCAAAACAAGGGAAAATGTGTTGACATGTCAATGAAGACCTTTTTAGTTATGTTTTACATTTCATTCAGGGGATATTTGTCCCTGTTGTACTTACATTTTTCATAGTCTTGATAGCCACTGTGTCAATGAAGTTAGCCGTGGAGAGGTCGATAATGATGGAGTGAATGTCCCAGGTCCACTTGCCCAGTGACCCAAGAGAGACCCGCTCCAGATCGTGACTCAGCGTGTCCTCACTGCTGGAGCCCAGAGTGGTGGTGTCCCCGTCCTGCAGCTCAGACATCCACCCTAAGCTGGTGGAGTCTGGTTCTCCTCCCTTCAGGTACTCCCATCTGCAGGGGCCGTCTGGTGTTTGAGGGGTGATAGGGATGACAAACACTGTCCCATTCTCCTTCTCAGGCCAGCCCTGCTCCTCCTCATCTGTAACAATCCCGTCCACGCATGTGGCCCCCCAGCGGCCGGCCTCTTCCTCCACAGAGACCACCGGCGCTCCAGACAGCTGTTTAGCGGCTCTCTGTGCCCGTCTCTGCAGAGTCGTATGTGAAAGAAATTATTCAAACTCCTGTTAAGTACTTGAGTACGTTGACTTTTTGGTAGCTTGGCCATTGGTCACCGACTGCAGTTCTGTCCAGTGTGACAGCAGGTACTCTTCAGACAACTACTTGCTATAACACACAGGACTGCGGTGCCACATAGAGGATAAGCTGACCAATAGGCCAAACACCAGAAAAAATAGTGTGGTCCATAAAATGTTTTGTACATTTTCTATAAACAATGGATTGTTTATAGCATACCTACCTCTTTCTTGGCTTGCCTTTTTGCCCGTCTCTCAGCCCTCCTTTCTCTACGCCTCTGTTTGGCCTCCTGCCTCTTCTTGTAGATAATCATTTTACTGATGTCAAGCCCACTCTGAAAACAGATAAAGAAAAAGAAAACATCATCTGCATCTTATTAAAATATAACAGGGAACAAAAACAAGAAATTATTGCTTTGATAAAGAAGAAATTAGAAGAGATTAGAGCTGGAACAATTAGTCAATTAGCTGATTAATTGATTGTCAGAAATTTAATCGGCAAGTATTTTGACAAAAGGTTAAAGGGAAAATGTGTCACCTTTTTTGTGTATGTCCTATCAATGTTGACGGTCGATTGAATCAATAAATTCCTCTGTGCGTGCTGTACTGACCCAGAAAGCAGTGCAGTTTGCAGGTGCAAAATCTGTTCTTCCTGCATCCAGCGCCCTCATTTGACATGACAGTGATGCAGTTGGATGGAAGGAAGAACTACAGACTATTTCAGCTTGGATTTCTGGTCTCCGCCTCTTCAGAGTTACAGTGTTTTGTCTGATTCGGATATTCAGCTGTATTTATTCAAGCCAGAGTATTCAGCTGAATAAATGCAGCGGAGAGAGGCCGAGGCTGCGGCTGCATTAGCCGCGCAAGAGAATACGGCCGGCGGGAACCCTCCGGGAGTCAGAATTGGTGCACAATACATCCTGGTATATGTAGGCACTGCTGGCACTGCTGGCACAGCTCTGAGAGAAGGAGAACTCAGCTTTTGTTCGCTTTCGCTGAGGAAGTTATTGCTTCAATTGACAACATTTACCATTTACACTGATCCACATCAAAAGTTGGCCTTTTTTTCCCCTTTAATGTTTTAGTCAGTTTTCACGTAAAAATGCTAAACATTTTTGTGGGTCCCGTCTCTCAAATGTGGGGATTTGCTGGTTTTCTTTGTCACATATGATATTAAACTGAATATCTTTGGGTTTTGGAGACCTTGGACATTTTTTACTTTGCATTGAAATACAATCATGAGATTACTAATTATTAAAGAAAAACATACATCAGTTTCAGCCCAAGAGTAGATTTATTATATAGTACTAGGAGGGAGAACAAACCTTTTCTTTCAGAGCCTCAAGGTAGAGATCAGCATTGGCGAAATATACCGTAGCAGAGGAGCGAAATATAGTAACACCTGGAATCTCTCTTGCCTGCCAAAAAGCAAAAAGTCATTAGCTTTTTTTGCGAAGTGAGAAGCTATAATGTATGATTTTCTATATTTCTGTCTCACCTCTCTGTGGGTCTCTATATCCACGTACAGTTCTGTACCTGGAACATTTCCCAGAACAGAGTATGTTGGCCTGAATGGAGTAAAAACAACATTATTATGTGTGCAATATGTTTTTATATAGTATTTAGTTTAATCTGGCAGTTCTTGCAGCCTAACATCAGTTACTATTATATTCTCTCTAACACACACACACACACACACACACAGTGTGACTCAGATATACTATGATGAGGTGCAGAGGAGTCTTACAGCTGAGTTCTGAAGATAACAGTCATCAGAGCAAAGATGATTGATGCTGCCAGACCCAGATCCAGATTGAGCAGCAAGGTTGACACCCAAGTGACCAACCACACCACCTGGGGGATGCAGTATGACATTATGCATTCTTTAGTATGATTATGAAAAGGAAACAAGAATGACACATTTCCAGATTCAACACCACAGCAAATTCTGTCGCAGTTGGTGCTTTCATTTTTTAAGTGAGTAATAAACTTCTCACCAGATCAATCTTGCTGCGTTTCCACAGTGTGCCAATGTCAGAGTACTGCTTGAACATCCCCTTTAGATTTACAAAGACGATTGCTGCAAGGACAGCCTGAAACAAGCACACCCACACGTTTACGTGATTAATCAGATGTGTACACAGAAGTGGGAACGAGGAAAATAAAAAAAAATCCTTTACATTACACAAAAACATGTCATGCATCATAAATATTTACTGCAAATCTACAGAAAATATGAGTTGTAGAGTGACGAACCGTTGGCAGCTCCTGGAACAGAGGTCCAAGTTTCAGTATAGTCACCAACAGAATGAGAGCTGAGGCCACTCCAGCCATCTGCAAGAACAACACAAAGGTTGTTTCTGGTTTTATTGAAATATTTGTGTTTAACAGGCATATTAACATATTTGTTTGTTCATCAGAAATTAAGTCCATGGTTGGAGAATATCTTGACAGCACATATTACCAATATTTAGTGGTACTCTAACAACTTTGAAGTCTGATTTTTAATACTTAATTGATTTGATATAATGTTTAGATAAATAACAAAAAACATCTCTGTGTACACAACGTTCCGGTATATTATCATTAGTTAAAATTAGACAGGTTTACTGGTCTCCCTTCGGGAGCAATTTGGGGTCAAGTGTATTGCCCAAGGACACATTGACATGGACTAGAGGAGCCTAGAGGAGTCCTTCAATCAGAGCCTTCTGAATTTTTTTGTAGAGCATGGGCAGTTGTTTGTTTGCAATGTAACTAAAGTTTTGTTCATGTCTGACAAATGTGTCACCACTGCAACCACATTTGTTTTCAATAAAGTCCATGTGGACACACACACTAACTAACAAACAAAACTAACTAATTATGTTAATGCATAATACATGTTCAAAGGTAAAAACTACAGTACATGTTTTAGCATCCGTTTTGAATTTCCACATGGTTGTTATAAACATAATGTGGTTATGTTTTCTTAAGGATCATTTCTTTTTTACCCTACCTCAATCATCCTCAAATGGGTCATATGTATTATATATTTGGAGTGTAACTACTGCATGTTGCATGTTCACAGTACTTGTGAGGCCATGCTGATGTAATGTTTTTACTTCTGTTGCTCACTCACTTGTGTTTTTCCTCCGGTGGTCTCTTGGATGAGACTTCGAGACATGGAGGCGCAGACAGAGAAGCACTGGAAGAAGCCTCCCACTGCATTACTGAGACCCAGCGCCACCAGCTCCTGCAGCATGGTGAGAACAAGAAACACAAGAATGAGCAGGAAAGTACAGAGAGAAAGGAATGCAGAAGTACGATAAAGGTCCTGTAGCTGCAGAATTAAACAGGACTTTAATAAGAGTTGTGGTTTACCTGGTTACTGTCCACATTGTATCCATGTTTCAGTGCAAATGTTTTGCCTAGTGAAATAGATATGGCATATCCAACCATGGCCAATGCAAAAGCATCACCAATAACTTCTCCAAAAAGACTTGCATCTGGTACACTGGGATAACTTAGACTGGTGCAAAGGTAGAGGAGAAGGAAATGAGTTAGTACTAAACAAGCTGGAAATATGACTCAACAAATAATTACAGCGGTATAACTTGGACCCCAATGCTTACCCATTAGGAATTTCTCCAACAACTGAAATAGTGTAGTTGCTGTTCAAGTGGGTATAGCTTGATATTAATGTCGCTGCCACAATCTAAAGGCATAACAGAAAGCATACAGATTATAAACACAGACTCACACCAAAGTCAAATTTCACAACACGTCAGACCTTCAATAATTACAAATCTGGTGAATCATATGCTAGATGTGAACTTAATTATTAGCCATAAATAGTTCATTTTTGCTGTGAACTGCACAAATGCAGAGGCCCGGGCACTACTGCTGATTCAGCTGCTTAGCTCCACAGTGTCTGTGCTTTTTCAGTGCTGCAACATCAGCAGCTACACAGAGCACAGAGGTGATAACATAAAGAGAGGCCAGAGAGTGTGTCCTCTTATCAACTGACTGTGATGAGCTCCACTGGGATCGGCACTGGCAGCTTCGGACTGAGAAAAGAGTTGAGCTCCTTGGCTGAAATCAGAAACACCATGGACACAGCGCTGACCAACAGTGTGGGAAGATGAGTGTGTGGCAGCAACATGCAAACATCCTTCAGAATCTAAAAATGGAATAAGGAAAAGCAGGAGATGGTTAAAGCCTACTACCGTACGCATTGAAACACACATGCTGAGCTGCACACAACTTATAGTTTTGTCATTTAAAGTCAGAATTCAGTATAAGATTACATACCCACAATGTTAACTTATTCACCAATCTATAATGTACACTTGTGTTAAAATAAATACAAAATTTAGATTGTCATATATTTTTGCTTTTTATAACATTGTTGTGACCTGATGTCCTACTGGTTTACACATTTAATTGATCCGTGATATGTTCCACCTCAACAACATCCCGTTTCAAGCCCGAAGTACATCACAGCTCTGACCCCAAAACTAAACATGGAGAACTAGCATTCAGTTTTTATGCACCTGGAACAAACTGCTGCAACTTGCAGTTCTTTTAAATTAAGGCTAAAGACTTTTCTGTTGGCCGCTGGTATTTATTAAATCAAATAATTATTAATTCCTTGCACTGTATCTTGTATTATAACTCCTGTCTTATTATATTTGAACTTGTTTTAAATCTCTATTCTATTCTAGTTTTCTACTATTTAGTGACGTTTTTTTATTCGTGTCTTGAATGTTACTTTTTTACATTATGACATTATCATATCAGTGCTGGTGTATCAACAAAAATGCAGCAATCAGAACCAAATACTTGACAGTACTCACATACACCAGTGAAAAGGGCCCGCTGAATCGAGTGGGTGAAACTCCAAAGATGTGCTTGAGTTGTGCCACCACAGCATGGGCTGCGGCTGCTGTTGTGTAAGCCCGCACCAGAGGTTCAGACAAGTATGTCTCCACAAATCCAAACTTTACCAAACCCAGTACCACCTATGCAAACAATAATTTATGTGAATGAGTATTGGCAGCTGTAACAATAGAATACAACATCATGATTTCTGTGGGATGCTGTGTCCAGACCTGAATAAGTCCTCCCAGGACGGTGGTAGCAGCCGCCACCTGCACCCTGTACGAGTCCCGGGCAGTTATGTCCACCTCTGCAGTGACGTTGGTCCCATTCGTTATGAGGAAAGCCGAGTCTGGAGCAAGTCTCTCTGTCACACTACCCACCATGATGCTGAGCACAGTAAATGTACCTGAACACAATGAAAGATAGCAGCACATATCATTACAGGGGTTATAATGGCTACAGTTACGTCTCTATCTCTCTTTCTACTTACCAATGGAGATATGGCGTGACGTTCCAAAAAAGAAGTAGATCAACGCTGGATAGAGGGACGAGTAGAGCCCAAATACAGGAGGTACAGAAGCCAACAATGCGTATGCCAAACCTGTGAAAAACAGAAGTTCTGTTACACCTGTCTCAGTTTACTAATGAATATTCTTAAGAACCATTTTTTCTGTAGTATTACTGGCAAACGTAATAAGACATCTTTGTGCAACATATTGCTTTTGAGTCAAAATGATACATTAGGTTTTTGTCATGTATCCTCATGTCATGAAATTCACTTATGTGATGACTGTGAAAAAATCTGACCTTTTTCTGTAGTATTGTGGATATAAACTCGACCATGATCGACTATTGTCATACCTTGTGGCAGGTGCATTATGCCCACACTGATGCCAGAGATGAAGTCTGGCATGCCATAGTCCCAGATTGAGTACTTGGGCAGCCAGTACAACACAGGCAAGCTGCTCATCACACTTTGTTTCAGTTTGGGTGCTGTACATCTGGAGGAGATTTGAAGGATACACATTGACAAAAGTTTAGCTGATGTGTTAAAGCATAAATTTACTGAAATTTTGTTTCTGGTTACTTTGACAAAAAGATCAGACCGACATCTACATCAAAGTTACAAGATCAAGCCATAAAATGTGCCTTACCTTAAGGAGTCTTTAAGGCATTCACTTAGAGAAGGGTGAGTGTCAGAGTATGTTTTTCTCTGCGTTACCTCTTCCAGTCTCTGCTCATCAAGCACTTCCCGCTCCACTCTGTATTTCCCATGTCTGCGTGTAGAGTCCATTGAGCTGAATCTGTCAATATCTGTGCAACGTCAATGATTTTACTCTTTTAATATGCAGTAAAGGTGCTTTATTCCAAGACTTTACTACAAATGGTTCCCCAAACTGTCAAGAGGACAACTGTATCTGCATATGTACATCATATCGCCTAATGATTAACTATAGTCAGGACGTTATGGGCAGAGCCTCTTCATGACAATGACGGCTGACCGGAAGAAGCAAAGGATGTAATTATAGTCTTAAAGTGGAAAAATATTAACTCTGTTGAATTTCAATGGATGTTTGACAGGTATTTTCCCCATGATTCCAGGTCTTTTTTTTTCCCCATTCACTTGCAAAAATAAAGCTAATGACCCATGAAGTGTAACCTTAAGCTCGAATTATATCAGACAAGTGAGACTTTATGACGGCTACTTCTGAACAAAATACTTAAAATATTTAAAAATGAATCTACTAGTCAGTTAATATCCAACACAATGCTGGCAAGCCAGAAAGTAAAATGTATAAATACATAATATACAACCTTTATTATTATTATTAGTACAACAATTTTAATAATTCTGATTTTATGAATCAGACTTAATAGATAAGGTCTGATTTTTGCACCGTGTGGGCATACAGTACACTGGGCCTTTAAGAAAGTGCCGTCATGAAATCTGAATCCGAGCTAGGAGCAATGTGTCATTTCAGTTATTCCAGAGCTGCACGCACGTGACCGAGGCAAACTAAGTAGAACAAAGAATTACTTTAATCACACAGTACAACATAATGCCAATGAGTCAAATGAGGAATGTCAAAATGATTCACAATATTTGTCACTGTCTTGGCTTAAAAACAAACACTCTCCTGGTCACTCAAACCCTTCTGACCTACTTGCTGTCCTCCTCAACACTGTCTATTTTGGGCTAGCAGCTCAGAGGGCCACAACAGTGTAGGGGGTACATATCTTTGTCTCTTGCCAGAGCTCAGACCGTCTCTAACCCCCCTGACTGATACATTAGGCAACATCAACAACACATGAAACACATGGATATTTACTTGTCTTTTTAGACCAAAGAGAGCAGAGGAGCTGGAGACTATGGTAAGGCTTTTTACAAGTGAATGCTTTATGATGTGAACAGATGTAATGCTAACTTATGAGACATGTTATTTGGACAATGGTGAATTTTGATAGTATTTGTTATATCGAAAGCTAATTAGATATTTTGCTTTAATGTGTTTACAGGTTTGCCATTACTTAAGCCACTATGGGGATGTGGTATTGTATTACTTAAATATGCTTTAATGGTTAAAATCTTTGTATTGTTACATTGATTTCTTAAGGTAGTAATACAATAATTACTTAATTATTTTATCTACATTTTCATTGTCAGAGTACCAAGATTACCAAATGATCATAAATAAAGAGTTGATTTGACTAGCAGTTATAGCATTACAAGTACATTTCACACCAGCATGCGATTATTAAACTGCTGTCTGATATATTGATGGCTGCTATGCATTTGTTTCTGCTTTTTTTCCAGAGACAACGTCCTGTAACTTTTTAAATATTGTTTCTAAAACAGTTGAGGGAAAATGGATCTCACGGCCAAACATGGGCTGGTGCTGCTCGACCAGCTGAGGAAGATGAGGGAGGGTGAGCATCTGACAGATGTGGTGCTGGTTGCCGAGGGCATCAGCTTTCCATGCCATCGGGTCGTTCTGTCCGCCTTCAGCCCGTACTTCCGTGTAATGTTCACATGCGGGCTGCGTGAGTGCAGCAACAGAGAAATATTCTTGCGTGACACCCCTGCAGACAGCCTGGCCCTCCTCTTGAACTATATGTACTGCTCCGATCTTCCTCTCACTAATGCCAATGTACAAGGCATCTCTATTGCAGCTTTTCTGTTGCAGATGGATGCCGTCTTCACTCGCTGCCAGCTGCACATGACCGAGAACATGGACGCCTCCAACTGCCTTGGTGTGTATTACTTTGCCCGTGACCTCGGTGCGGAGGAACTGGCTGACCATGCTCAGCGCTACCTGCGGCAGCACTTTGACCAAGTCTGCCAAAATGAGGAGGTGCTTGAGCTGGAGGCCCATCAGCTGGGAAAGCTCCTGACTTCCGATGACCTTAATGTTTCACAAGAAGAGACCATCCTGGATGTTGTCCTACGCTGGGTCAAACACACCACTCTGATGGATGGAGAGGTCCGTAACCTGCACCTTCCAGAGCTCCTGAGGAAAGTCCGTCTGCCACTGATAAATGCTGACTATTTAAGAGAGGCAATGAAGAGGAACACGGCCCTGCTGGCAGATGCTGAATGTCTAGAGATTCTCAATCAAGCCTTGGAGGTCACAGCGATGCATCCCTCAGCTGCACCTCGTAAACTAAAGCTGCGGTACGGCATGGAGACCACAGATCTGCTGCTCTGTGTTGGAAACGACAGCGGCGGGATCAGGACAAGATACGGCAACTACACCGAGCGCAGCTTTTGCTATGCCCCATCCACAGGCCGAATCTACTACATCACTTCACCTCGCTATGCAGAGGCTCTGGGGTATGTGTGTGCCGGGGTTGTAACTGAAAGAAATGACATTATAGTGGCAGGAGAGGTAGGCGCACGAAGAATGGCCCGACAGGAGGACATGACTGTGAAGATTTACAGGTCAGATATTAGGTGACACACTTGATAACTCAATGTGTATTTGCATGCACACAGATGGCACTGATTGTTATCTTGGGTTGCCAGGTACAAAGTACAGGCCCAAGGAAGCTGGGAGTGCCTGACGTCAGCCGAGTACCGTGATTCATACGCTCTGGGGTCACTGGGTGACACTCTGTACCTGCTGGGTGGGCAGATGAAGCTGAAGGACCAGTTTCTCATCACCAACTGTGTCGAGCGGTGGTCTATGCAAGGAGGACCCTGGCGCAGTGCAGCACCCCTGCCTATACCGTTAGCCTATCACAGCGTGGTCAGGATGAAAGACCGCCTTTATGTGATGGGTGGTCGAACTCCACAGGTGATGTCAAAACATATTTACACGCGTTAACTTCTTAGCAATTACTGTGAAACATAAAGAATCAGACTTGAACACATTTAACATAAGCTCAGTGTCTGTGTGCGACTCCTCTCTAACTGCACCTGTTCTGCTTCATCACCCCCTCCCTCCCCTTCAACCATCCAGTCATACCGGATGGATGATGAACCCGACCGTCTTAGTAACCGCCTCCTGGAGTATGATCCAAACACAAATAAGTGGAGAGAGCTGGGTCCCATGAAGCTCTCAAAGTACCGCTGCAGTGCTGTTGTACACAATGGAGAAATTTTCGTGATGGGTGATATTGTTTTGTTTTAATCTTTTAAATCTCTCTTGGACTGCATATATTGTGACATAAATTAAGCTGCATTGATTCCTGTAACAATTCTTTGTTACATCATTTTTCAAAAGGATTCTTTTTGGTGATAAAACAAACTATTTTGCAGGGGGAATTGGATGTGAGGGTTTGGATCGTGGACAATCACGCCGCTGCCTTGATGCTGTAGAGATCTACAACCCAGATGGAAATTATTGGAGGGATGGACCGCCTCTCCCATCTCCACAACTCTCACTGCGCACCAACGCCTCAAACGCAGGAGTGGTGGGAGGCAAGATCTACGTGTGTGGATACTACAAAGGAGCAGGTAATGAAAGAATAGACATATCCAATCATATTCAATGAATTAAGACTACATTACCCATTCTGTTTCTTAACAACCTTTAGATCGTCATGATGACATAACGAAAGACATTTTGGTGCTGGACCCATGGGAGAACCGGTGGACTGTGGTGGCTCGGCAAGCTCTGATGCACGACAACTATGACGTCTGTTTAGTGGCAAATCTCAACCCAAGGGGACTTATGTCCCCACCTGCAGACTTGGTTAAACAGTGACACCCCTGTCAGATCAAGTCAAAATCTGTGTAGGAGAATTAGCGAAGGAAAATAATTATTAAAGCACTTATTGCCGGGCCAAAGGCATTGTTTTTTTTCAAGCAAAAAGGTTTTACTGCCCAACATGAAAGAGGATCTGCGGTCAGTGATTTGCACGTTGTTTTGAGAGATTTCCACGTCAATGAGAACAGAAACACTTGTAAAGTGTTTATTTTAAATCTTAAACATCTGCAGAGATTGATCACCGGAATCCTGCAGCTGTTTGGCACAAAGTATTATCAGCAACACCAGGACATTATTTCTTGTGAAATTAACCAGACATACATTTTTCTTATAATTAGAGCTTCAACGATAAGTCGGTTGACAAAATGAATCGGCACAATCGTTTCAGTCACATTTCAAGCAAAAATACTGAACTTCTGAGTCCGGCTTCTCAAAACAAAGAAACTGAAGATTTGCGTTTGAGAAAATGTGAATAAATGCGTTTACTATTTGACATTTCAGACTAATAAATTAACTAAAAGATAAATTGCACTTTATATGATAATGTATACAGTTCTAATTATAAGTATGGACTTTGATACAAATTATAACAAGATGAAAAGTATTTGATCCATCTACTGCAGTGTAAATACTAACGATTTATCATAAATTAAATTGACAGAATACCAAATTGAATATTTATTGTATCAATTGTTCTTTTTGTGGAATGCTTGCTAAAGCATAATAAAATGTTTTCCTGCACCTTAACATTTATGGAGCATGAGTGTTTATTTGAAACAGACAATTCTTTGTTTATTTTTTAATGTCACATCAACAGTAGGTACAGAATAAATAAATATTAAAAAAAAAAATCAGCTGACAGTTTAGTAAACAATATGTATTCTTTTATGTCAGCTGAATAACTTTAAATATGTTATTGTATTTGTGTGCGAGTCTGTGCTAAACGTACTTATCATGAGTACCTTTTAGACTCCTCCACCATAAGTATACGACAACATTTATCAATGTTTTCATTCTTCAAGAAACTGAATATCTCTACAACTATTATAACAGAGGTCATAAGTAATGATAAATAACACACTAAACCTTTCTGACTTTTACTCCAAACATAAGAGCACAGATGCGTCACTCTTGAATCCTTCACTCATCCTCTAAAAGCTTGAATCACAGTCCTTGTCAAACAACTGCCAGAGGCTTTCAGGTTTCACTGGGGTCCCTCTCTCGGACTCCGATGAGAGCTTTTCTAAAATGGATTCGATTCCTGCGAGGCACACGGAGCTGTTGCTGTCCTGAGACCAGCAGCTGAGAGGGGTGATGAAACACCCTTCAGCTATGGATCTCATCCCCCTGCTTGGCATTTGAGGACAGTCTGGGTTGAGACTCTGCTGGCTGGTTAACATGTTCGGATCTCGACGCTCACAGAGTGATGTTGAAGCATTTTGTTGTTTGTCACAGTTCATGAGAGGGTCACGGTTTTCCTTCTTTACAGTGGACTTACTCCTTTGTGAGAGCACCAACGGTCTCTTTTTGCGCTTCTTGTGGCTTCTCGGAGTGAATTTCTTCTTTATGATGTCGCTGGGATGCTGAGGGGGAACTTCGGCGTTAGTGTGTTCAGTGTTGTATGACCTGCGTCTAAGCTGCATGCCTTCCAGCTTGTCGTCTTGCAGGATGGTGGAGAACGGCTGCTCCAGCTCTGGTGACGTCTGGCTGGCATTGTCCGTCACTCCCTTGGGGCTGGCTTTGGCTGAGTGCTCCGAGACTAAGGTGCTGAGCAGCTTCAGAGCCTCTTCCAGCATGTTCCGTTCTCTCTCCTGCCCCTCTCTCAGACTCTCCACAGTACTCTTTAAGCTTTGCAGATTTGAACAGAGTTCTGCTGTGGTGTCCCCACGCTAAATGGTAAAAAATAAGTTTTATCTATAACATTTATTAACCACCAAAATCTACTTTGAGCCAACTGAAACTTCAGCAATCTTGTCCAAATGCTACAAACCTTTTGCGCAGTCTCCCCCAATTCAGTTAACATCTCTTTCTGGGAGTTCACTTTAGTCAGTAAAGTCTCAAACTGCAGAGAAATGTCACTCTGGAGACTGCTGAAATAATTTTGCACTGGAATGAATGAACAAAAAGACAGAAATCTGCTCAATACAAATTTTTTTAAAGTATGGAACCATATAAAAATTTTCAAATTAGATGAAATGATGGGTGACCAATGTTTAATATTTAATTGTTTAATTATTGTGCGAAGAGCACCATCTACTGGCAATAATACATGTTTGCTCGTGGCCTTTTTACAGAATGCAGAGAGCAACTGGAAGTTCAATCATTCCAACAAAAAATACATTTAAAAAAAAAAATTTAAGAAACTTACGTGTTGATGCAAAGTTGTCAAACTTTTCAAGGACCGTTTGACACACAGCAGTGTTTCTCTCTGTGCCAGTGACCAGTTGTTGGATCTGAAAAAAATGGCAGTGTTTCTTTTAATCTACAAAAAAAGAACTGCATACTCGAAAAAGCAAGAGAATGGATGCTTATCATCACTTACATTGTTGAGTGTTTCTCGAAAATTATTACATTCTTTGGCTAAAATATCACTGTTGAAGCAAAGGACAGATATTAAAATGTCAGAAGTGATTAGTCCGACTTCTTGTATAATTGTGTCAATGCACAGTGAGTAGCATGTTTAAGTCACACCCATCCATTTTCTCTTTTGCCCTTTTCTTTTCCTCTTCAAATGTATCCAGTATTCCAAAAGTTTTGCTCTTGTCCTTTAAGTCTCCAAACAGGAAAGGTTTAGTGTGATAACTGCTCGAAAACTTTGGGTCACTTCCCTAAATTAAAAAAAGTAAAATGAAGTTAAGAGCTGTAGACACAAGACATAACTAATGTTCACATAATCTGAGTGATGATTAATAAAACTATGCACTCATGGTCCTATACAGTGAGTCAAGTTTTTCATATGATGGCATGTGTTAAGTGGACTAAAGAGTTTCACAATAATGTGGAATGCACTATACATTTGCTTGTAACTAACAAGCAATATAACAATCTCTGATAATATAAATGTCTATTGTCTCCACGTATATACTTACATACTGCACACAAATTCTCTTTTATTAAAAAGTATATTCATATTTTTATGCATAAATTTACTAAAAGGAAAAGCACAAAAAGGTGGTAGCATCGTTACAACATCATGTTTACTTTTCTCTTAGTACAACACATCTGTAAATATACCATCAGCTTCGACCCATTACTGCACCTGGTATAAATATTACACCAGGTATACGTAATAATGCCTTAAACCACAGCGATGTGTCCATAGATCTGGGTACTCCCACATATTACTGCCGCTTGTAAAATTGAGTTGATAAACCTCACCTCTTGTGAACTTTGTTGGGAGGTCCTGGACGACAAACTCATATCTTGAGACAGGCCTTGAGAGTTTTCAGGCCAAAACTGAGACCCAAAGAACAACTGAGAGTCTGTGAAACTGGAGTAGCCGCTGGTAGCCCCATTTCTGTGGATTGTTTTATCCCCACAAGGTTTGAGGAGGAAAGAAAAACACAAAAAACACAATTTCTTTGTGCAGCAAAACAGAGAAAGTGTTTGTATAAATCAGATAAAAACACACAGATACACACGTAAAATATTGCTCTACAAATGTAGGGCTTGATTACAGTGTTTTTCTGAATCACATTGTTCACAGAGAAGTGACCTAACGTTAAATAGCTGATAGGAGTCATAGTTAAGTAGCACACTCAAGCTAAATACCTGTTTCCAGTTGGGATGCTCAGCATCTCCTTTATGTTCCTCGTATGATTCATTGCGTTTGATTACCTGTAAAGACAACAAGTTAGTAGTAATTGTAGCTGGCTATGTCTTCGGGCATCATTCAATGTGTGAGCTAGTGTTAGTTAGCATTGACGCTAATCTAGAAAATGTTTCACTAGCTAACTTTAAATAAAATGGAGTCAATATAAATTTAGAAAATCTCGTCAAAAAATGAACTATGCTATTCTGCTTAAAACTCGTTGCGTGCAGTGGTTGTCGTGGATTAAATACGCTATAAACACTAAAATATATTTTTAATTGACTCACATTCCGCAGATACCGTGTTGATGACGAGTGGGAGGTTGACAACGGGCAGTAACCTCGCGAGGATTTAAATCTCCCGCCATGTGACCTTCTCCTTCCACAGCGAGGCTACATTCAGGGTCCCTCGGAAAAGTTAGTCAGTTAGTTAGTTAGCAACTATATTGTCCACATTGTAGAAAAGTGTCCTTCGGTTTACCACATACTGGTAAAAACAATTCATGATATAAGAAAATGATGAAGTGGTACATTATTGTCGCTAGTTCAATAAATAAATGTTTACTATCAATGCTGGATAGTTCATCTGATAATCCAGAGGGCCCCATAGACTGAGGGCCCCCAAAAGCCCTAAATTCCCTTTACTGTCGTTAATTGGATGTGTATTGTATACAGTTTCTTCCCGTCTTCAGTTGGACATTAACAAAGCCAGAGACCCCCACTGACTCTGACACTTACACCCCCAGGACAATTTCTTCTTAAACACCCTTGCACTCCTTTCCCAATTAATATACACTTGACACTTTAATAATATACTTGTTTTAATATACTCTTATTTGTTTGTTTAGTTACCATATTTTTACATTTTATTGTAAATTTCAATATGTTTCTATTTTTAAATCATGTCTTGTATTTTGCACTGTGTTGATTGTTTAATGTTATGCACCATCCACCCAGTCAAATTCCTTGTATGTGCAACATACTTTGGCAATTAAACAGTTCTGACTCTGATTGGATATCAACTAAGCCAGGCCCTATAGTTTAATTAAATTAGAATTAATTAAACTTATAGTATCATAGTAATGCTGAGTGCAATTGGATCTAATGGGAGCTTAACAAAAGGGTACATATACAATGCACATATGGCCTAGGTGTGGTGTCAGTAGGGGCCCAATAGTTTAAAAACAGTGTTTCCTAGGTGCCCTGTAACAGGTTAATCTGGCCAATATAATGATTTATTGGCTGCATTTCATTTAGGTGCAGTGACACTAACCCAATAAGCATGCAGGCTAACTGGCAATGTAATGGAGCCATAATTATTGTTATTAATTGCACCTGTGCCTTTTCTTGCCAAGACGTGTTGAATGGTTTTAATGTTGTATTATTTATTATATAATAGGCTTCCCAAAGAGTACATTGTGAGTAAAAATGATCTGATGGAAGTATTAGCCAGAACCTCTTCAGCATATTTAGCCAAATTAACAACAAAAAAGACAATTCAATGAAAAACATTGTAATTTACAAAGTTATCCTTTAATTTCAATGATATTCAAATTCAATCAAGTTGCAGAGATATCAATTTCATCAATTTCAGAAACATGCATTCAATTAATTTCAAAATATTGTATTAAAAAAAATATTTTGTGAACGGGATTGAGGAAGTTTCATTGTAAATCGATTTTGTCCTCAGTGGGCCTTTTTTGACACACCATATTTTATTAATATTATTGTTATTATATTCATTATTATCAGCAGTAGTAGCAGTAATAGTATATTTTTATAAATATTGTATTTGTATTCATTTATTTCATGTATACTACGCAGACATAGTCCTACGATAATGAAGCATGAACACTGTCACACGGTTTTATTTTGAAAATTGCACCCGGAAGTGTCCGTGCTAAATGAATTGAAATCAGGTAGCTATGAGCTACGCACTGTAGGAATATCTGTGGTTGAACTACGGAGGCGTGTTGAGGACAAATCTGCCAAAACTACAGGTGACTTTCTGAAAATACCTCTGCAGCGGACCAGACGTCGCTTAAACCACACCTAAGAGTCTGGTCTGCCCAAAGCCTGGTGAGTTAACTTTTTGTTATGAGTCTGTCATTGTAAACATACCCGATAATGTTGAGCAGAATTAAATGGATTAGCAAATCTGCCTCTATAACGCTGACACAAACACGATTTAACTTCACCCCAGTGACAGGTGCTAGCGAGCTAAACACCTTGGTTGTATCCTGCATTACTCGACTGACGTTAGCACGTTTTTCATGCCATTTTCCGAGGCATGTTGCTTAATGTTAACGCTTTAAAGTGACAATCCTTAAGGATTTGGTTGATTTCTACTTGAGTGAAAACAATGGATTGTGCTCAGAGTTCACAAGGAGATCCTCCTTGTAGCACTGGCTCCGCAGTGGCAAGCCTGATGCGAGCGTCAGGCAGGTGTCGGGAGGACAGCGGCGAGCAGGAGCACTTCGTTCGGCACCCGTCGAGCGGGCGGGGCCACACTTCCTGAGAACCGCAATTTGTTGGCACGACAGTTCAACTGCCATAAACCGGTTTTTACACTAAAGTGTTTACATTTCTCATCCGATTCCAATGAAACCACGAACCTCTGTGGCGCACAGAGTTTCAACATGAACCTGATGGATAGATGGCTTATGAAATACAAATGAAAAAATAAATAATAGAAACTATACAAGACTAATTTAATTTGAAATTGAAAGTATTTAGAGATAATATAGATATAGCCTAATTGCACAATACTGTATACATACCATTATATATTGCATTTATCAGCCTATATATGCTGTTATTATTATTATTCAATTGTGTTATATTATACTGCTATTTATATACTATTTATCTATTATCTATCTAAGACTAAATTTACATCTACTACTACATTTCACTTGATAATATATTACACTACTAGCTTGTATTTATTTGTTTATTTAAAAAAAATGTTGCCATATGTTATATAACCACTATTTTACTTTCCTTTGAGGAGACTGCACGGTTAGTCTAAGCACAACACTGGAATTATTTTACACCACGCAAACCTGAACACGCCCTCTACTCTTGAGCACAACTCTAGACATTCAAATTAACTGGGAAAAAAACCGTTCCCTCTACAAATAGATCTAAAACCCTTGAATATAAACATGCTCATTGAAATCGGCTCCGAAATGTAACACAATGGTCAGAAGCAGTCAATCTATGTAGCTGGCCTAAATATATATAGGTGTCGGTATAGTGCCACGAGCTGTCATATAAGTGCCACTGGTTGCATCACAGATCAATATCAAACAAGTATTCAGCTTAACCTATCTTCAGGCAGAATATGTGAAATGTCTTGTGATAGTGTGCCTCGTCAAAGTCAGTGATGTGTATCTAATTCAGGTCTGTTTGCTCTTTAAGGGTTGAATATGGCTCTGGCATTCCTTTTGGTCTTGGCTGCAACTGTGATTCTGATCAGACCCGAGACACCTGTAACTAAGGTAGAAGATGGATGTCACTGAGCCAATGTGTGCTTTGTTTGGGCTACGCTTATTTGTTAATCAGTGAATAATGTTCCGTCTGTAGGCTTTACATCAGAACTCACTTGAGTGTTGTGTCGAGAAACAGAGGGTGAACAACTCGTGTTCAAATGACACCCACTGTGAACCAGGTAATGTGGATGTTTCCTTTTGACCTTTTAACATCACTATTATTTTATCGTCATTGATTAGAGATTAGCCAGAGCGAACTAATGCTATGACCATTGATCAATTTATCTTGTATGATTACTTTGGTGAATTCAGAGTTCCTTTAAAGACATAAGGAGTGAAGTATTGACGTATTAAAATACTTTACACCGGCAATCTACCAAGAACAGATTATTAGTGACACACTGTACAAACATTGCAGTAGTGCGGAATCAAGTTTAATGTCTGTACTTTTTAAAAGAAGAGAAAGTATGAATTTGAGAAAATTTGCGCCTGCAAGGACACGGTGAAAAGCACTGGAACAGCCCGTCCCTGTGCTTACGCGGTACTCTTATCCGTGGCAACGTATGAAGAAGGAAAACAATCTTTTGCTTTTGGTTACCTTTAAACTAGCAATTTAAAAAAAACTAAATTAATTTAGTAAAGTGTTTCTATTTTGATGAAAACCAAGACATCTACTATAAATACAGTATATAAAGTGAGTAATGTAAGAAAATATAAAAAGCATGTTATTTTTTTATTGTTCACTTCTATCCTTGAGTTGAGTAGAATGTAAATTGCTGAGTGGAATTAATACTTTGTTGGTATCTGGGTGTCAAAGGGCAAAAAATGTGAAATATGTTCTTGTTTTGATTTCTTCAGGATGCTTCTTGCGTGTCCTTGAGAACAGCAACACCGTTTGCATATTCTGTGACTCAGCAGCTGTGGATTTGGAGAACATAACAGTCTGCACCTACAGTAAGGACGGAGATCTGTTTTTTAATGATAATAAAAAAAAACTGAATTATTTTCTTTTTTTTTAAATTTTCCCCTTTTGTGTGCTCGCTAGACTACACAGTGGAGAGGAAAAACCACACAACTGTAACTACTGTCATTCCTAAAATTGGTAAGAAATCAAATCCACAGTCATTAATAACTTTTACTAATTTTTTTGGCCTTAGCTTTAATGTTTCTATGAGTTTAAATTACTAGAAAAAAAACCTGTAAATTATTTTCAAGCTAATGTGTTTGAAGGAACCGACTTCAATGTAGTCATTATTTGTTACTTTCTAAGTTTGAAGTTGGATAATAATAGAGTATTACCCCTCTCCGTGGGTAAAAGTCTGTGTATGATGAAGATAATCAGCACGTTTCTCATCACTGTTTTCTGTTTTGTGTTGTTTTTGAGCAGGAGGGCCGGGTGTGGCAGCCTCTCTTCTTCTGGGAACGCTGTTGATCAGCCTGTTCCTGATCCTCTCTGTCGCCTCCTTTTTCTACCTCAAACGCTCAAACCGACTCCCGAACATCTTCTACCGCCGCAACAAGGGTAAGCACTTCACAGCTCTGATACACTCTAATTATACAAGCAGGGTTTTATCAACGCACCGCACCCGTTAAACCCATTATAATAAAGCATGGAAGTGCTGCGAGAGCATGGAAACACAATGTTATTGCTCTGCTTCAGTGATTCATATTTGACGTTCAGTCAGTTAAACCCAAATGTAACAATTTTTCTTTTGTACTTTTACAGCCTTCATATTCCAACCGAGTGAGGCAGTAAGTCAATTTTATTGTTAGTTTCACAGGTAATCACACAGCACAGTACATTTGTGGCCTTGTGTGGCGACTGAATGCATTTATTGTAGCCTCAGCAATGTTGTCTTTTCGCACAAAGACATTCTTTGTAAATATGTCTCAAATAGATGGTTATAATTTGTATTTTTGTTCTCCCTACTAGGCTGTCATGATCCCCTCCTCGACAGGTAAGACGACTGTCTTAATCTGTAAATTACCTGTTTTTCAACTGCAACTCTGACCTCGAGGAACAGGTTATAAGATGATGTAATTCAAAGCAGTCAAATAGTACACGGAAGTATTAGGCAACGTTGGTGAGGAGTGTTAACATATTTTAGGGCTGTTATAGCGATGACTGGCTTGTGTTCACAAAAAGAGGTGCATAGAAGTTGTGCTTAAAAGCACGAAACATGCACATAAACATAAACGGTTAGCTCAAAGATTGAGACTGAACGAGTGGTTCCAGTGCATGTCTCTTCTTGATTTTCCTCACAAGTGATTATATGTTCCTTTTGTTTTGCGTTTCCTTTGAAGTGAGGAAGCCAAGATATGTCAGAAGGGAGCGGCCCTCTGCAACATCAACACTGAATAGTGCCACCGTACCCACCACATCCACCACGCAGGTCTATAATGTGTAGTTGTGGGAGGGCCGGCGCAGGTACGAGAGGACGCTCAGGAACGATGTCAGTTTTTGTTTTTATTTCATTCTTGTCACTCGGGCTGTTACTTTTGTTTTTTCACAGAAAAAACTTCATCATACCAGGAAAATAGGTTCAGTACTGCTCTGTAAATTTTAAACCTCCCATGTCAGTTTGTTTTCCTCCCACTCGTGCAGCACTTCAGGATCACTCGACCTGTCTTTTGAAGAATAGTTCAGGGAAATGCAAGTATTCACTCTCTTATCTGATTAACACATTTTATCTATTTTAATCCGTATAACCCCCCCCCCACACACACACACCCACCCACACACACACACACATACAAAAAAAGTGGAAAAAACACAATTCTCTATTGGACTATAAGGGTGAATTGTCATTTTTCTGCTTTGTTTTTTGTTTGCATTAAACAAACCAGATACAACAGTGTGATCTTTGTTGCCTTTGGACAGAGGCTAGCTGTTTCCCCCTGTTTCCTGTCTTTAAGCTGAGCTTAGCTAACCAGCTGCTGGCGATAGCCATGTTTTTTACAGATCCGAGATGATCTTCTCATCTAACTCGCAACAAGAAAGCGTGTGAGCATATTTCCCTCTATTCCTTTAAGATTAATTGTGACAGTGATCAAGTTGAGAAGCAGTGATTTGTTTGTGGGGAACAAAGTGACAGCCCAGTGACATTTGATGGAAGCCTGTGTTTGCTAAATAGGATGATATTTACATGCGTGATATTTATTTACATTTTGTAACTGTGCACTGAGCTTTACTGATGACAGTCAGACCAACAGAATAAATGATGTGTCTAATAGTAGAGTTCTTCAGGTGGGCCGGGATATTTTAGGGAGAGTGCTGTTGGTGCTGTATGGATGATTGTTTGATTGTTTTTTTGGTTTTATTGTTGCATTTTCATTTTTTTTGTTACCTTAAGCAAGGTGAATGTATTACACAAGTACAACAAATCATGTATCAGAGTTGCATACTTCATGAATCCACAACAGACCTAGTCCAACATGAAAGAGCTGAAGTCATTCTCAACAACAGAATCATTATGTTTTCACTGGAAGGTTTGTGATCGTACACATCTTTTTAAAATGCCATGTTTGCTCCATAAAGTAGATTTAAAGTCCCAATAGATTTTTTTTATCTCAGAACCTCAAAATTACTGAATCCTTGTGCACTTTATTTGTCTGAGGTCATCAGCTAATGTTTATTTATATACGACTAGTTGCCATTAAGTGTGAGGGAGATTTTTTTGTTGTACAGATGGCAACATTATTGTTGCATTGTGAAATTTTCTTGACTACTATTAACCTTTGCCAAATGTCTGAAGAAAATGGATTTTACTGTGTGCCATTACTGTGATTACTGTGCCATTATGAGCTTTAAGAGCAGCCAGGAGACGTTTAGTCATGATGTGGTGAATGATTGGGTATTTGAATTATATCCAGTGGCCTTTATATTTACTGTACACTATTCTAAAAACAGGTATCCTAGTTGTATTTGCTACATGCTATTTAATTACATATAGTTTTATATCTTGACAACACTAAGGCTTTCCTCCTTCAGTATATGTGAAGCAACATGAAGTGAACCAGATAAAAAGGCTGCAATCATTCCATGAATATTCCCCTTTTTGCATAATGTCTCTGCTGTTGTACAGACAGCCGTAAGCTGAAGACATGTACATATTGTTTTATACAAATGATGTATTGTTTTTGTAATAATGTACATATTCTAGTTTTAATGCCATAAAGAATGTTCTGAAGATGTAATGTTTGGAGAAATAAAGCACCTTTCCATTGCCAGTTTTTCTCTCTGTGCGGTTATATGAGCTCTCACGCTGCTGTTTTTGTATGCGACACTAGTTAGCTTAAATTTTCATGTTGTTCAAAGACAAATTTGAACAATCCCCCACAGCACCACACTGGGTGTTTTCTGTCTGTTCCTGGACACAGATAAGACCTGCAGTGAGGTTAAACCCATAGTGAAGATGTTCTGATGTGGCTGAAAACGGCTTATTTTGGGGTAATCGAGACCTGTAGTGAATTTGTGTCTGGTGGGAAGTTGCAAGGTTCTGAGTTTGCTTCTGGCCTCAGATGAGTGAACGTTTATTAAGTCGCAAATTACCTCCACTAAAGATTGTTTGTTTATTCTATATCTATATGGCTTCATTTGACAGCACTTTGTGCTGCGTTTCTTGTATGAAAGGTGTTACACAAATAAAGCTTATTATTATCTCTCGTGATTTCTGCTGCTAATAATGAACAATGCTTCATTGTGAGCAAGACAAGAATATATTTCTACAAGAATGAGAAGTTTACTGAGAAATGATTTAAAATGTCCCTGTTGGGTTATCGAATTTATTGATTAGCTCCTAGTAGATCGACAGGAATTGACGTACTTTACTTCTCTTGATTGTTAACATTACAGTATGTAGCAGAGTAGCAAACAAGACATCAAAGCAAGTTGTAAAATTGATGGTGCATTTTGAAAATATGCAATCGTGTTACTTATTTCAAAAGGCTTTCGAGGTTGTTTTTTGTGTAATATTTGAGACGAAGGCTAGATGTTAAATACTCTGGGATTACTGGGACTGACCAGCAAAGTTGTCTGATAATAAAAAATTAACTTAATTATAATTGGGGTATGCATGACTTTGTAGAAAAGATTTGACATTAGTTCAGATTTTGTCATTTTAAATAAATACACTATGTATAAAATATCCATGATCCATCCAAAATGGTTCATGTGTCCTTGAACGTCTATCACGTTAATAATGGAATTGAGTATCGATCTCACCTCTAATAACTGTACGAGGACTTGTATTTTAAGGTACTGAAATGTCATACCTCTGGTAATAGTGGGACAGACGTTTGCAGCTACATGTGACTGGACATACTACTCTATTTATAACAGCTGAGTGCAAGGCCCCGGTGACACATATGCAAGAACAGACGGACATCAGAGCTGAAATGTCCCCGCAGGGAGAAAGTACAAACACCTTCAAACTGGACACTTCGTCCTTCTGCAAAAGGTAGGTTCTCTTTCTACTGCAGAAACACATTAACAACAATGTACTGTAGCTATGTGCTTTGTGTTGGTTGTGTTGGTGACGTAACAACAATGTAAAAGACAAGACCTTTACCGACTTTGACGTAGAGCAGTTGAGGGGCGTTATCGGCGATCCTAATGACCCCACACCTGACAAATAAAGAAAGACCTTTTACCCTGTCGAAAAACAATACCACTAAAAAGTACTATAAACTTATTCGAGAAATATTTGAGTTGCTGTAATTTTAATTAAGATGATATTTTAATATTTGTATCTTAAATTGCATCAATGACCCTCACTGAGTATGTTTGTTAAGATGATACAGTATGTTGTGCCCTGACATTGGACATCTGAATTATTTTCAGGTCATATGACCGGAGTATTTCGGGGTCTGTTATGGATCTTGTGACCAGGCTACTCTAGTGTTGCTTTGCTGCCCTCTGGGGTCTTCAACTCTCAAGCTTTGAACTAATACAGCAGTTTGTTTGCGTTCTGCACAACAGTTTCCTAATGACAGCTGTTTACAAGCAATGTTAAGCTTCAGATAAAGACACGCTCTATATTTAACTCAAATGTGTTGATGGAACTTCAACGATAAGTTAGGGGTGAAACCAAGGATGTATTGCTACACATTACATAAAGTCACTTTCATTATTATTCATGCATAATACCTGAATCTGCAGCCGTCTGACACTGATCGTTTTTGTTTGTGTATTTGTATTTTCTTTTCAGATAGAGGAGCATGTGAGGGATCAAAATGGATGATTTAGATCACAGCATGCACATTGCAGAGTATGACTGGACAAGCTTCTATGAGGAGAGTGAGGAGTGTGGTCTGCATCAACCCTCTCTTGCCTGCCCTGATAGCGCCAATCTCAGTGATTCAGAGGATTCAGGAAACTCAAGTTCAGTCTTTAGCACAGGCCAAAAGGGGCCACAGCAAAACTTTGCTGCAAACAGTGATGAAGCTGAAAGCAGCGCTGCAGGATGCTGCATGGAGGAAGAGAACTACTCAGGTTGTGTAAAGTATATATCAGGGCAGACTATTCAGAGTGGTACAGGAGGAGGAGAAGATGATCTTACAACAAAATGTGAAATGTCTCTTGATCTTTCTGTAGGAACCGCCATCAACACAACAGGGCACATCACAGAAGACACAGATGACAACACCACAGCCACACTGCAAACTGAGCAACCGAGTGTGCAGTATTCAGATGAAGAACCATCAGAGCTGAAAACAGAAGATGGAGATGCGCAAATGGAGAGTGACATTCGTGAATTCAAATCCATACAGGAACGTGACCCACTTTCTTGCAACCGAGCAGAGATAAATGTGAAGGAGTCGCACACTTCAGACAGAGCTGTGAGTGAGGATGTGATTGCCGTTGCTTTAAGAGGAGAAAAAGAGCGCTGGTTCGTCACAGTGAATGACAGTCCTGCACAACAGCGACTGCGTGCCGCCTCTGTGAAAAAAAAACGAAGACAAAGAAAAACTCGTAAGAGCAATAACATGTGCAGACTTGGACAAGAGAGATCAGTTGGAAATGGCTTAAAGTTACAGATAATGAAAGATAATTATGAATTCGAGGGAGGGACTGACACAGAGTATGTCACACCAGAAAACCAAAACTCTGTGAAAAAATCAGGAGGGTATCCAAGTGCTGAAGAAGATGCTGAGAGCACTCAGGCGGGAATAATTTCAGATGCATCACAAACGTCTTTAACCTCTGGTGAAGAAGACCTTTTGTCAGAAAAACTGGTGATGTCTGATTTCCCCAAATACAATACCATTGAGCCAATGATAGACAGAATATCACACGACACATTTACACCCAAAGACCCTTCACGGTCGGACAGTGTGGAGTCTGACGTTGTTGAGTTCTTCTCCATTCACAGTTTTGATTCTGAAAGCTATCTGTCCGCTGCTGAATCAGTAGAGGAACTCCAGCAACTTCTCGTGGAACAACAGCAATTGCAAAGCTCATTATCTCTGACAGAGAACAACAATCTGTTCAATCTCACTGAGAATACTGACGCAGACGATACGCAGGACAGAGAAGTGCATTCCTGTGATAGCCCTCTCTCTTGCAATGTAACAGCTACTAACTCTGAAGGTCATGAAAGGGCCGATGTTCAGCCCACACTGACATTCCCATCTGCCAGCGAGAGTGTTGACAAAACGCCAGATGACAACGCCACATGTGATAACGACACACACAGCATGCTGCCCTCGGATACACGCGGACTCCAAAAACATGAAATGAGTCTTTCAGCATCTGGTTGCTCTTCAGGAGATCATCTACTCCCCGTTCCTGATGTAACTGTAACACCTTGCTCTGTGGCCGACAGCCCTGAATCATATGCTGAAGCTGCGGGCCACATTCGGCCTGTGTACGCCATTTCTGCCTTTTGGGATAAAATGGAAAAATTGACGATAAATGACATTTTGCAGCTCAGGATGAGTAGAAGGACCCCTCCCAGGGAAACACAAGAAACCGTGACACCAAACATAGATGATCTCAGCTCTTTGGATGACACTGTGGAGTACAATTTGTCTGATGTCGGTCTGATGGACACATCAGACACTGCTGACTCAGACTATTTCACACAGCCGGATGAATCCAAGCCAGATCCTTCAAGCTGTGAGTTTTCTACCTCCGATATTGAAGAAGAGTACTCGCAGTTTCTCGGCACCAGTAGGAACCCCACACCTGACCCTCGAAGCAAAAAACAACGACGCACGAGAGACTCTCCTATCTTGGCACATGAGGAAGAGGAGTCCACAAGCTCTGAAGGAAAGGAGACGCCTGTGCCTTCAGAAGACTTGGCAAGGAAGTGTTTCGAGGATCAGGACTCAAATGCTTTAATTTCAAGCCAACTTGCACGGCCGAGACAAATAACAAAAAGCAAAAGCGTGCACAATGTACAAGCTCTCAACACAGAGGATTTATCTTTGCAGTTGTTACTTGGTAATGACGAGAGCAGTCTGTTTCTCAGCAGCTGTCCATCTCTGGAGGAAAACGTGTTTTTAAAAGCGCACGACAGCCTGTTAGCACTAATACCGTCACCTTTTATGGAAGAACATTATCAAATATTCTGCCCTGAAGTGTTTCAATGCTTTGTCAGAGAGGATAAAACAAAGAGTGACTTCCGCTGTGTCACCGTCTATGAGCCAGAGGACATCTCAGTGGCTCCTGTGATCGACTTCCCTCTTTGGACACATGAAATGTCATTCTCTTCCCTCCACGATTTCCAGTGCAGCGAGGAGAAACCCATCCCCATTTTCTCTTGTTCTCATCCCACCGTCAGAGAACTCACATTCCCAAATCCTCACTATATTTTCTTGAGTGCAGACTGCAAGGAGGACGACATCTCTCCATTCAGAGTCGTGTCTCACTCCTTCATCCAGGGCAGTGATTGTGGGGCAGCAGCATCCATAACTGGATTTCACAGTTGGAACAATTTGATGACGAAGATTCGCTTCCCGGACAAAGGTAGCATCTGGTGCAGGAGATCCGGCGCCTGGGTGTTTCCAGTTGAGGCTGAGAGGCTCACCATCAAGAATGCAGATCCACCATTAACAGCGCTAACTGAGAGAAGAGTCTCTTTTACTCCTTCTCAGTTATCTAGAGAGCTAGCAGTACAGCAGAGAGTTTTGGAAACTATCAAGACAACAAGTAAGTCTGAGCTCTCTCTCATACACGACAATAACAAACACTCAAAGCAAAACTACAATTAAATAAAATCTCCCTTTTTGTGCGTGTTTGTCTCTAACAGGACGAGAGGGCATCTTCTCCACACTGAAGCAGTCAGATATGTGTTTGGTCTGCATTGCTTTTGCCTCCTGGGTGTTAAAATCTTCTGACCCAGAAGCTGCTGATGCCTGGAAAGCAGGTATGAAACTCCTTGCAATGATAGTCTGCTGTTACAGTCACAAATCTATTAATTTAACTAAAACCTGGTGTCTAGAATACAAACATTAAAGACCCCTGGAAACATCTTCCCCAATCAGCTTCTTCCTGAAAGGTGATGTCACAGATTTCTATGCACCAATCAGTTCAGCAACACTGGATTTATAATCTGATGACAGATGATGTTTTTAGCTGACTTTTTGAGTGTTGAACACTTGATATAAAATAACTAAGAATATTTATTGTTACAGAGACAAACGTAAATTTGAAACCATGTCCACGGGGCCTTTAGGTACTGAACATGAAGAGTACTGTATAACTTAGTGAACTGACATTCAATTCTTCAAAGTGACCTTTATTGAAATCCTGTTTAGCTCTGCTAGCAAATGTGAGTGCGCTGTCGGCCATCCAGTACCTGCGGCAGTATGTGAAGAAGAAGCATCCCTCTTAAGATGATCCCTGGTACGTATAAGAGAGAAGAGAAGTCATTTCCAAACAGTTTCACCTGGGTCCATCCGTAAAAATGTATCTCCTGTATAAATATGTTGCAGTAATACTTCTGCTGCCTCAGAGTATGCGTTGGTTTCCAAGTTACAATACAGATTGTAAAGGTAGAAGTTTGCAAACTTATGTTTTAAGTTATTTTCAGTCTGAAGCTATAGTTGGACATTTTTAGTGAAAGGAAGTTAAAGTCTGGTGATATTCGGTTTCTTATTGTTCTTCCAAGAGACAAACCAACAACGAATTGATCTCAATAACTAGTCTGTGCCACCGAAGTCTATAGATGTAGCTTATTCCTCTAAGACCTCCATTGTTGTCCAAATACACTTCATTACAATGAATATGGATGCTGCAGAGGGAGTCGCACATACAAGATCCTGCTGCCGTCACAACTCACTAACAAATCAAGGTCGTTAACATATTTCCCAACAAATGCACTATTTCAAGATTCTAGATTTTTTATTTATCCTTCAAAGATG